AGTCGTGACTTACCTTTTGCACAAATAACATGCTTCAAGAGGAAGGGAACTAGTACCCCTCCCAGTCCCAAAAAAGTCATAGTGGGTGGAAACATTTTTTGGTTCCATTAAAGTGACCTAAACTAGCAAGATGAGTCTTCATATTCTAAAGTATTTCTTTTTGACCACCTCAGGATGAAAGACGTGTTTCTTTGTCTGATGCATCATCCTCGCAATACCATGTTCTGCCCTATGAACTGTGTGTGAGCCATAGCACTGCCTGCATGGTTTGGAAAAAAAGGTAAGCATATCTGTTCTTGAGTGTATCAAAACAGAATCCAGTTTATTCTTGTGGGATTGAGCTGGTTAGTTTGTGGCCACTAACAGGAATAAGCAGTTAGTATACGAATACCATAGCTTCTGCAGATTATCATCTCCTCTGTTGTGCAATTTTATGCTCATTTGTATCAGGTGGAAGTCAAGCACAGCAACTGAGAGCAGAGAGCACATCTGTTGAATAGAAAGTTACTATTTTTACATTTTCCAAACTAGAACTGCACTTTATAATATTAATGTCCCTTCATCTCTCCCTGTCACATTTGGAAAGATAATAGAAAACTGAATTTCCAAAGAGTAAAGAATGTTGAATGCTCTAGAGTTTCAGTTTCATTCAGTTGGATTGATTTTACCATAACTCTTTTCAAAAATAAGAAGCACTTTTGTGATAGCTGAGTGCATTGAAGTCTAATGGGTTTAATTTATGTGCAGCGAGGCTGTAACAATACTCTGTGAGCCATTACAGCTGTGCCTCTCAATTGAATGGCTTTGTACAAGCCTCTAGTTAGTGATTAAACTCCACACAGTAGCTTAACCTGAAGAAATTCACAGTGTTTTATGAACACCTTCTGTGCTAAATGGCAGCAACTCTTCTGTGAAGGCAAATTTATTTGCCCACAAAATGGGTTCATCAGAAGGTCTGTTAATATGCATAAAAATATGCATGATGGTATATAGTTGCATCTGATTGACCACCATTGCCTGCCAATTGCCATTTCACTAGGTTGTGGATGTTCTGCTTGTCAAATTAATTTTGACCGTACTGAAAAAATGGGCTAATACGGGCTTGTCCACAAGGTTTGATGATGATGATGCCCTGACCCAAATAGTTTTTCCTTTAAAGGAAAAGATTGCAACAAATGAAGGACCAACAAAGGGAAGAGGGTGATTTGTATGGCCTCATCTGGACTGGCTTTGCCTGATGGAAGTCATAGAGGATTGCAGTGGTAAAAGTAAAGATATTTAGAATAGATTTGTTCTAGAGAAGTCAGGTGGCCTTGCAAAGGTTTCATATTTTAAGGTGCCTTATCAGTCTTTCTCCTCTATAATCTTTGTGATCTCTCTTTCAGATCCATGTATTTTTCTTCTATTTTTACAATCAATTTTATTGCCTGTACCTTCACTGAAGCTGTGGCTGGAGGTGAAGTAGGTGTTGTTGGCAGCTTATAACCAGATGCAACATGACTCTATTGAAGTCTTACATAGTTTAGTGTAGATTTGCATGAATGGGACCCTACTGGTACAGTGTTGCTGACTATAGGAACAGGCTGTATGGGAACCTACAAAAATGGGAATTAATGAGACAAAAAGTAAAGAGCTTAGAAAAAGAGCAGTCATCTATTTGTTTTGGAAAGTCATGTAATGTCATGCATAGCTATGGAGAGCCTGGCATGGCAAGATATATACAGGACCCGGAAAAAAGCCTGGAGAAATGTATTTTGGAGAAATACCAGGAATCCTTCCATCTTACTTTGTTACAGCTACAAGCTGTAGGCTGTCCAGTCTTAAAATTTAATTGGGTAGTGATTAAGAATGAGACATAGTTTGTTAAAATGATATCTGAAGTATATATCAAATATTGCCTGAAGTTGTTCTCACTTCTTCCTGTTATCTCTGGTTGCTGTGCTGGAGCCTACAGTTTGTCATTCTTACTCTGTCTGATGCTAGGGATTGTATGAGACGATCCCGTAGGATGTGGCTTAATTAATATACTAAGAAAAATGGACCTGATGTAAATGTCTGCCTTAGAAATGGCAGAGTCTGTTTGTTTTGATTGCCTGTGATGATTTCCAACTTCTTATCTTCTGACTTCAACATGGCGAATAAACTTTTTTCCCTTTCTTGTTTTCCGTAGTATCAGAAATCCTGAAGCAGAACTTGTCTTAGTTTCCTGTTTTCTTGGCAAGGGAGCATAGCCTGGTCATGTCTCCAGGAAGGTTGCCCTTAACATACTTGCAGGACTTGGGCTTGAGGAAGGGAAGCAATATAGGGTAGAGATCTTGTGGCTCTTGAGCCACATATGTTTTGCATGCAGTTCAAATGTGCCTCCCACACTAGGCAGGACACAGGAAGAGCAGCAGTGCTATGGCTGTGTATGAGAGGAGGCAAGCTAGCAGAGGTGGATGGGTCCGTGTCGCTGTCCCTGCAGAGTCCAGCAGCCTTCCCAGCTCAAACTTACAGAAAAGCAATGTAACTCTTGGGGAAAAATATTCCTGTCTGCCTGTGGAATGTCTGCTCTTCTCTACTCTTTAGGGCTTATGGGATGCGTGTCTTGGGATTTTGGCTCTCTGAGGATTTTAATATATGATTTATAAGGTTAGAGGCACTGGATATTCTAAATGGCATGGACTAGCATGATATTAATGCATATCTTCTCTTGAGCAGTTACAGTGTTTAGAGAAGGCTGTTTTTCCAATACTAAAATGTCTGAAATTCCTTTTTTATAGATTTTAAAAAAGCAGTGAGGGAACTTTCCTTGCATTTCCTGTAACATTACATGTAGAAATGTACAAAGATGGTAAGTGTTCCTAGGTCACTTCAGTATGGAATAAAAGCCTATCTGATTTCATAGGTAATTAGAGAATTATCTAATTGTTTATGGACCTTAAATGATAATCAGAGATCACACAGGCTTTGTTAGGACTAGAAACTGATTAAAAGAATGGTCAGTCTCTGAGAGTTAAAAGCTTTAGAGTAATGGAATGCTATTTATTCTGAAACTTCGCAGTCTCCCTTAGAAATTCTCAATTACAGATAATATTACTTGGATTTACTTTACACTATAAAAAGTCATGTGTGACTCAAAATGTAGCTGAAATGTCCTATCAGGTAATTAGATTAAACAAAATTATTTCCAATTAATGGTAATTTTGAAGAAGCTTTACAAAACCCAAAAGTGTCTGACAAAGTACTGTAGTTTCCCTCCAAAAATTATAACAATAGGTTAGAAAAGTAGTTCTCTGCCATTTAGAGGCCCAAAGAGGATAGCTTCATACTAGTATCTCACAGCTAGATAGAATATTCTTTACGGTAACCTCAATTATGAGCAACAATAGTTTATCTCTTTTATAATACTGTTTATCTGTTGTATAATACTTCTAAATTTTATAGGCATTGTCCTTTTAGGAGGAAATTACAGCCTTTCCCACAATCAAAATAAAATTATTAAAATAACTTCAGTCAGGATAAGACTTTAAATATACTTATGTGGTTCTTACTATAACATGGGACCATGGGAATACCTTGGAACATGACCTTCCTATCATTGCTCAGTGAGCTGGAGGATATTTTGTCTAACCACAAGCCACATCCTTCCCTGTCAACTTAATGAGAGCACACAGATTTAAGGAAAAAAAAAAAGGGAAATGGCTCTCCCTTGGGACCTGGCATTGTTAAATTGTCCCTAAGTGTTTTTAGTACATTTGTTTATGGTTCATTCTCTGTTTCAAGCTTTAAAAAAATGTTACTAAAATTCCTAATAAGGAAAGTCTTGGTTGGAAGAAGGAGTAAATAGCAATTTTCACGGTTTGTACCACTTAATGTAAAATAATCTGTCATTAGTTTCATGATTCACACTTAATTGCAAGAGATGAAAATAGCTTCCAAATGTGACCTAAAATATCCTAGAAGATATTTGCAGGAATTATGTTACAGTACTATGTTATTGAGCTGAAAAATACTAATGACAGTGAAATTTACACTACTCCATTGTTTTGACTCTTTCTCTACTTATCTGAGTGGCAAAGTAAAATGTGCAATACTGTTTTCAAAGTGTGCTGAAAAAAACAGGGGCTCAGCATATTTGCCCTAAGGTTGGGTTTTGGGTCTCCAGCGGTCAGTGCTCTTTTGTGCTGTGTCCACAACACTGTTTACGAGGTATTTGAAGGGATTTATGAGTGTTGTTTTTAGATCCTCTGGTAGCCTGTATGTTTACAGACCACTTGCTAATGTGCTGAAATTTAGATTGTGAGCTCTCATCGTTGCTGGTATTTTCAAACTTTCAAAAAAGAACATGGTGAAGGACAGAGGAGTTATATATGTTGGCAGTAAGAGAATCATGAAAGGGAAGCAACTGCAGAGAGATTCAAGGACACCCTTGGAGTTCCAATGGCAAACTTAACTGCTATCAGTGTTTTATTTTGAAGTGAAAATCGTGATGAGGAAACTTGGCTGAATTCCAGTCCTATAGTAATAGGTGCAAGTGTTTAAATTGTTGTGAAATTACTTTAATCTTTGACATTGTTTTCCATTTCTAAAGTGCTAATGTACAGTGAAGTACAACAACAATAAGAATTTACAGGCAAAATCAAGGGCAGCTAGTACCCTGGAGAGGTACAAACAACACTGCATTGCTCACGCCCACTCACAGGCATCCATACGTGTGGCTAGCACACGTGTACACACACACATTCATTCACATTTCCCCTGCCCACCCCCAGATTCATACATTCTTTCTATATACATAGGTGTTTGGCTGGTCCACAGCACTTCCACAACAGCTAAATAATTGGATGTGCGCTTCCCTGGGTTTATGCAGCGCCTTCCCTGCACTCTGTTCTTGCTTCAGTAGCCTATGGCACTTGACCCGGAATATGGTTAGCCCCTACACTTTGCCACTCTTGTGACATAAATCTGCCTGTTCCTCACTGGCTTCCTTCTAGTGCTATACTGAGAAACTGTGCAAAGGTCCATTTCTTCACCTGGGCTAAACATCAAACAAGTTAGCATACAAAGAGAACAGACCATTTAGAATCTGTTCATTCCAGCATCGTGTTTGCTCTACAGTTGTTTTTACCATTCAGTGTGTCACAGATGCCCTCATGGTCCCCATTGCTGGAAGCTTGGCTGCCTGCAGGAACGTATCCATTGCGTTCTGTTAAGAGATTGAAGGTAAAGAACTGGCATGGGTCCTTTTGTTTGCTGCCTTCCTGTAAGGGACTCAGGAAGGAGCTGGAGTTTTTCCATTCCTGGAATGTGCACATCTCCATATGTGGGTGAGTGATTTTGCTCAGGTAGCCAGGGCTGGGAGATGCTGAAGATAATGTCCTCTGACTGCCACTTAGGAAACTCCCACTGTCTTCCAGAGAGTCCTTCCTAGGGTGTTCAAAGGAGCACCGATTCCAGTTTCTGTAGCTGTAGGCCCACCACCCCAACTGCTTTCGGCGGTGGCACTGGCATTTTAGGATCTGTATAAAAGCCCTCTTGAATTCTTTGCTTGAGCAAGGGTAGATGATTGGATTCAAGCAGCTGTTAAAGTAGCCAAGCCAAAAGATCACCTTGAAGATCGTTTCAGGGGGCTTCAGAGCCGAGAACAGAGATCCTGTCCAGAAGAAACAAGCAGAGGCAATGTCTGAGATAATTGGTTTACCTGCCTTTACAAAGGGTAAATATCCCATCAGATCACTGTTAGAAACTGTTTATTAAAAATCTTTAATAAAGATGTTGCTTTAATTTTTGGTCTTTTGGTAATAAAATGTTATTTATGTTATTTTCAGATTTAATAAGGAAATGCTTTGCACTATCTGAAAGCTAAAAGAGCACATAATTAATGTAGCATTAAAAATTAAAATATAGTCCTTGTGTTTACATGTACACATCTGTTGCACTAACATCTATTGATCCCAGTGAAAGCTCAAACCTCAATTGTCCAAACTGTTGCACAATGCACACATGGAATAAGGTGTGCCTTCCTCAAAGAGCTTTTGAATGTCATTTTTGAATAAAAAGATCTAACTGTTCACAGGCTTCTTGGAAGGAGTGTGTTCAGACATACCTTTTAACTCCTAATACTTTCTCTGGAAGCTCCTAAACATCACCCCGTTTATCTAGATTATTATGATAGTATAAACCTCTTGAAACCTGAAGTTAGTTGTGGTACTTCCCATACCCCAGGCATTAATAAAAATGGTGTAACCCAAACAAGGAGATTATTTTATGAATACTTCCTCTTCTGTTCACAACTAAATAATTTCCCTAAAGTGGCTACCCAGATGAAAAACTCATACTGGGAAATCCATTTCATGTACTTTTAGTATTAAAAACATGCAATTGATCAGCTAAATTTAGCAAATGGGGCTTTATAAAAGAACGTGTGACATTTTTAAAGCAAAACAGGCATTCAACAGTTATCCTTTGCTTCTGGGAAAAGTAATCAAAGAGCAGGGATTCAGGAGAGAATTCTTACATCAAGAACTGGAGTTAGATTTGAAGAGTTTTTCAAATGGAAGATGACACTCAAGCCTGATTGTCACATCTCTGAGAAGAGTGACCTTTTACACTGGAGTGGATTCAGATTCCCTGGGCTGTGAAAGCAGCTGAGTCAGTTGTGACTGTCAGGATGCCTTAGCGGGGAGGGATATGATTCTAGGCATATTTCCCATCTCTTAGCAATGTAGAGGCCATGGCTGGGTCCTCAAAACTATGCAAAAGCACTTCCTAGCTTCTTGGGTAAATAGCACTTATGTGCCACAGCAGATACCGCTGTTTATCTAGATGACAATGCTGGCCTGATGCTGACTATAGGGGTCTGAGTCTCCTTAGCTCTCGAGAAAGCTAAAGGGAGGTGTGTGTCATTCCTCATACACGCACTACCCTCCTCAATGTGTCAACTAGTCCCTGAGCTGGCTCAGAAGAGAAAATAAGATGCTGAGATGGCATCAGTTATCTGGAGAGACACTTCCTCTCCCTCACTGGGCAACAGGAGTCAGAAAAGATCCTGTGAATCCAGAATAACAGATTTCTTTTTTCCCCTGGCAGTGTTTTGGGATGGTGCCAGCTGGCGCTAGCTCTACCTATTGCCTCAGAGCTAAGCAACACGCAAGCCCTTCAGGTTAAAATGAAGGTTTTAAATTACAAGGTTCATAGTATTTCTTCCATGACTCCTGCACTTTATGGACTTTTATTCCATGGACAAGTCTCTTCTAAGTTGAACTCATACCCCTTATTGCTTTGCTGCTGCTAGTGATTCGCCGGGTTTGACAAATGCCTTTCTGTCCATCTGATGGAGATCCTACATCTGTCCTGAACAATAATGCAGAAAGCACAGAGTAAAACATGTCTAACATCAGAGAAACTATGAATTGTATTTGATAAATTTAAAACAGATAAATCAAACCAATACAAGCACTTAAACTATGTCTTGTAAGCGTTACATGCTTTTTGATGAAGATTCCTGGGACTCTATGGAATAAGCCAATAAATTGTTGTCAAATTCTTATAAAGCTTTAGGAAAAATTAGCCTAAGTTTATAACTGCAGCCAAAATGAGAAAGATTCTCCAAAACCTCCCACATGCACAGCTGCAAACCTTTTCAGGATTCATTTTGTAAATAGTAACTGCTAATATTTTCCCTTCAGTTTAGGGAAAAGAGAAGCTTTGTGACTTTGCAAAACAAGTACAAAGCATGATTATGTACAACAAGGAACTTTTTGGCACTCCTACTGATAAATTTCTTAAAATGTTTTCTGGAAATCCTTTAAAATATAAATGTTTTTTAGCTCTTACATCCTAGTAAACCTCATGAAGTGGCTGAAGAACTTCAATTTTTTCTATGTGTGAATGTTGAATGAGCAGAGGTGAGTTATCAGTTGGTTTGCCTTTCTTTCCTACCGTAACAACTGAAAATCTGCAGGACAGTCCTCTACCAGATTTAAATATTTTTAGGCAGGTTAAATATGGACAGAGTAAATGCTATGATATAATTTTAAATATTTTTTTTTAAAAAAAGAAGTTTACTGACAAATGTTGTGAAATTCGCTAAGGACAAATAAAATGAGCTAAGCCAGAGAAGAAAACTGGCAACCAATGCAGATAAATGAGTTGTGCTTGTAAAAATCTATATTGGACATGAACTGAATATAACTACGCACAGTAAAGACAAAGAGAAAGGGAAAAAGGTAAAAAGCTGAGTGCTGAAAAATGGCTAATCTTTGTACACTGCTTCAAGTAAGAAAAAAAGGTAAGGAGCTTATGCCTTTCTTTTGTGATAATCTATTTTTCAAATGCTATTTGAAAAAAATGACAGCAGGCAATTTTCAGGAGCTGCAGCATGCATTTTCAAAGCTTTTTATATTAAAAGGCAGCAACACAAGAGAGCAGAGAATTTCCTAAGAGTAGCCCTGACTGACAGGGGTACCTTGTGTTCAGGCATGATTCTAGAAAAATGACTAAGCCCTGATCAATCATTTAAAAGCTATCATGACCCTAGCTGAGTCGTTAACAGAAAATCTGGAAATAAATCACTTTGGAAAGTGAGGTCGTGGTGTGATTGAAAAATAAATATCAGCATTTAACTACAGTAGTAGAAAAGTTTTGAAACTACAAAATTCAAGAATAAGTGTCAAGGAGTTAATGAAAACACTAATCATTAAACACTACTTCATTCTCCACTTTTTTCTGGTTCTGCAAACAGCACAATGCAAGTGTTGTTTGACTCTTAAATTATACATAAACCAGTAGATTAAGTTTTCACAAGAAAGTAAGGAAGGATGCTTTTCTGAACAAGGAATATTAATTTGATAAATAAGCCATTGACTTATAGACTGGTGTGTTAATTGCTTTTATTTCAGACTAATGTATTTAGATTGGATAGAATTATTCTTAACTCCTCTACCCTTCCTAATATACATATATATATATATATGCAACTGCTCTGAAGGGAGATAGATTTCATCTATGAATTTTGTCTATGGTATAATGTTCTATTACTTCCTATTTTTTTTTTTCAGAAATCACATGGTAGATGCTTAATCCAAGAAGGCTCTAGCAATAAGAGAGGTCACTGCAGTCCCAGTGAGAATAAGTTCATGTACAGGAGCACAACTCATTTGCTCTCAGATGGCACTTTTCATCTGTCAGTCATCCTGACTTCGTGGCATCCTCCTGATTTTACTAGTGGGCAATGTGAGCTGGGGGAAGGTCAAAACAATTAGTTGAAGGGCATATGCTAAATAATTTTCACCAGTAAGAAAGTTTTTGTTGTAACAGGAAGAGAACCATGAGACCTGGCATGACTCTTAACCACTAGAACTCACAGTGGGTAGTACAGCACATTCAAGTAGTGTGTTTGGTGGATACTACTTCCTTTGCCACCACCCAAGATAAAGCAGAATTCAAGAATATTTCCTGAAATTAACAGAAACTGTTTGATGCACATGATCAGATACATTGGTGGCCCTGCAGAGGCTATATGTGATGACAACGTGATCATAGCAAAATGGATTTGGAAACACTCTGTCTTCCAAGACAGGAAAATTCTGAAACATACTGCCTAAGAAAGGTGTAAAAATGCAGCCCGGGAGTCTCTTAAAAACAGAGTAGACACACATCTACTGATTTATGTGTAGATGATCCAGCCTTTGGGTTGGAGGATGCCCTGAATGACCTCTTCAGATCCCTTCTGGTCCTTCTTTCTCTGATTAACTCTGTAGAATATAACTGTGTTCCTCAGGAAAACTTTATGGCTTAGGTTTTGGCAGCCCAGCAGAGTTTTACATTTGCAGTACTGGAATTCCACTGACACTGTAGTCTTAGATCCCCTTGGTAAATATATCCATTATTTAGGTTGAGGATTAACTGTTAGAAAAATGGAATGTCTGAGACAGATACTTATTTGGGCACTTATTCTCTTCAGGGCTTTGGAAAGTTTCTGAGGTTTTGTGTTCAGTCCTTCCTTACTGGGTGGAATCCCAGCCTGAATTTTCTACAGAGAGAGAAGAAAAGCTGTTCTTTATTATTCAGAAGGTAGTTTAGATGGATGTTGCTATACATGCCATGTACTTCTAAATATAGTTTAATTTGGTGACTATTATGCAAAGCTCCAGTGCCTTTCACCATATAAAGATATGAAAAATATTTTGATTAGCTTGTGTATTTTTAACATTACCCTTTTCCCTACCTTGTTCTTGGAATTAACAATACCTTTTATTTAGCTGCACACATGCTTTACCTCGTAATTAACCTGTCAGGAGCAAACAACTGGAGGCTATTTTGGTACCTCGATAAAATGATAAAGCTAAGCCTACTAGACACACACTAAACATCAGACTAGTATTTCCTCCTCTAATCTCCAACTGCTTTCCCATCACAGTCTGAAAAACAGATAAAATATTTCCCTGTACTGATTTAGATTGCTTTTGAAAATGGCTGGAAGAGTTTGCATATGATTATCTCCTTAGTGATTTATTTGTGATGAGGGTAGCCACAGTGACTTCCCTACTCAAACTGATTGCTCTCCTGATGCTTCATGTTTAACAGCTTCACTCTAAGGGAATGTGTATTTTCTATTCTCTTTTATTTTTCTGCACTAAAACCTGTGGTTTA